CTAGGCATTCCTCGCTGTGGACGCTCTTGCTGACGGAGGGGTGAAGATGGGATTGCCCAGGAGACTGGCTGTGCGACTGGGAGCTCAGGCTCTGCTTGTTAGTGCTTGACAGTCTATGAAACTTTTCTCATATTGATAATATGATCAATCTTTCTGTGTCTAAGATTTACAGTACAATCATGTTTTTGTGTTTTGTTGCTAGGGTGCGGCAAAAATGCTCCTGGACTCGGAGCAACACCCCGGAGAGTTAAAAGACAACGTGGCCTCACCTGGAGGTGCGACGATCCACGCTTTGCATGTTTTGGAAAGTGGCGGTTTCCGCAGTCTCCTGATCAACGCTGTGGAGGCGTCATGCATTAGAACCAGGTACTGCAGTTTATTTCTGATGAGGGATTTTCAGCTATAGAAAGGGTCAACAGCTTGCAGTTTATTTGATAAATCCGTTCAATAGTATTTGAGGACGATTGGCTCCCTGGCGTGATCCCCATTCAGTCGACCAGGTCTGACGTTCTCGACTCAAAGGGAACTTTATTTGGCCAATTTTTTTTTTCTAGATTTACATTTGTAATGTAAATGATCTTTAATCTGCTTTCTTCTGTTATTAATACTAAACAGAAATTAATACAAATTAAATTCTTATAATTACTAGTGATCTAGTCAGTGACCTTGGTTATAAGATCTATTCACAAAACTCCCATTTTAATTTGATGGGCTGTTTAAAGAGACATTTCAAGCCAACTCTTTTCTGACAGGGAGCTTCAGTTCTTGGCTGACCAGGAGAAGATTTCTCCAGCTGCCATAAAGAAGACGACTCTGGACAAGGTGCTTCAGCAGTCGGGTTCGGCAGCAGGTGGCGGGATCAGGACCGGCCTCAACCTCTTTAACAGCACCAACCCCAAACACAAGAAAACCTGAACCTGGTCACCTCCATATCCAGCTCACAGTAAGGATGAAACCACTTCAAGAATTGCAGACAAGATGCTAAGACCAAAATGCTACAAGTTAGATGCTAAAAACCTGTGCTGTGTTCAGTTGTCTGTATTGTTGTTTTACCTTTTTGGTTAGTCTGGACCAGCTCTAAGAAGTTAGTTTCTCTAGATATACACTGTACATTATGCACTGCACTGTAACTTTTTTTTTTTTTTAGTTTGCTTAACTTTACTTTTTTAGTTATGTTTCTACATTTACTTGGAATATTAAGTATTTCAACTTGACAAATTTAGTTATGTGAACTTTTAAACATTCGTAAAGCTGAAAGTACTTTAATATTCCAAATACAACTTAAAGGAGGAGTTCACTTTTATAAAAACTTTTGCTGATAATTTACTCACCCCCATGTCATCCTAGATGTCCATGTCTTTCTTTCTTCAGTCGAAAAGAAATTAAGGTTTTTGATGAAAACATTCCAGGATTTTTCTCCATATAATGGACTTCAATGGGAACCAAACGGTTCAAGGTCCAAAAGCCAGTTTCAATGCAAACTGCAAACTGTTCAAAGGGCGATAAACGATTTAAACGATTCCAGACGGCGAGTAAGAGTCTTATCAAGTGAAACGATCACTCAGTTAAAAAAAAAACAAAAAAAACAAAGTTAAAGTTTTATAAGCTCAAATGGTCGCCTTGCACTGTTCTGTGTGACTCTCCTGTTCAAACTCGTTTATCAAAATGAACGAATCTTTTTTCATGTCATTTGGTTCATTCAATGAACGGAATGAACGAGTTGACTCTGGAAAACATTCGTTCATTTTGATGAACGAGTTCGAACAGGAGAGTCACACAGAACAGTGCAAGGCGACCATTTGAGCTTATAAACTTTAACTTTGTTATTTATTTATTAAATGAGTGATCGTTTCGCTAGATAAGAACCGTATTCAACGTCTGGAATCGTTTAAAGCCCTTTGAACAGTTTGTAGTTTGCACTGAAACTGTCTTTTGGACCTTGAACCGTTTGGTTCCCATTGAAGTCCATTATATGGAGAAAAATCCTGGAATGTTTTCATCAAAAACCTTAATTTCTTTTCGACTGAAGAAAGAAAGACATAGACATCTAGGATGACATGGGGGTGAGTAAATTATCGGCAAAAGTTTAAAAAAAAAAAAAAATGAACTACTCCTTTAACTGAGTCAATGGAAATGAATAAATCTGAAAGTTAAGTTGAGTGAACAAAAACACTTTTTCAGTGAATTTTTGCACTAAAAACGTTGAAAAGTCCACCTTACTTTCTCAGTTATTCTAACTAAACTTAAAAGTTGTACATATTTAATATGTCGAGTATGTAGAACTTTATGAAGTCAGTGCAAAAAAGATAACTCAAAAAGTTAAATTGGGTGAACAGTATCAGTAACAGTTTTTTTTTTTTTTTTTTTTTTTTAACAGTTTGTGTAGATTTATTATACAATGTCTGATCTAGTGCAAATAAATGTCACATCATGTTTTTACAGAGGCTTATCTGGACTGACCTGAATGAAATGAATTAAAGTGTTTCCTATCTTTATCTCTATATTTCTCAGTAGTTCAGTATTCTCCAAACAGAAAAAAGCCAAATTCTCCATATGATTGCCCATTGTTATTTGAAGCAAACTGATTGACTCAGACACTAGTAAACCAGGTTTATCTTCAATAACTGTAAAACTAAACTGCAAACTGATGACCTCAAAATGTTACATTTGAATTTTACAGCGTATATATAAAACAATTGACATTGCCTCTGTTAATTTCCATTCATTCAGAACTGAATTTTGAGCCTGTCCCAATACCCACACTAACGGTCTTTGCACTTCACCACTTGTCTACTTGCATTATGTATTTCCTGCTTGAAATAAAAATAATAAATAAAAAAATTATCAGTTCAACTTAGAAAATGCACTTCATGTGGTAACATACAATAACTGGTTTTGTTGAAATGTAATAAATGATTTAAGATTACTGATTATAACTCAATTCAACTGACCTGAAAAACAAGGTTTTATTGAAGCATAACAGACATAACCTGATTTCTCCAGCAAGGTAAAATTACTTAATATGTTTGAGATCATATTTTTGGTTTTATAAGATGAAAGTCCTTTTCCACCTTGATGTAAATACACTCAAAATGTATTAATTACTCTAACTTAATTTAATTGAAGAAAATTTCACACACAATTTAATTTAGTTTAATTTACATTATTTGTCAAATTTTCTCAGTCCATCCTACGTTTATAATTAATTTACTAAGGCTTAATTTTCTTGCATTGTTCATCATTATGCACTAGGTAAACTGCATAAACCACTAAGTAAAGACAGGTGTCAGTATTGAGCATTAAACACTGAGCACAAGCGCTGCTCTTTAGCACAATGTTAGAACAGAACAGAAACAGCTCTAAATGTCCAACATAACTGAACATTAAACATTTACATAAATAAAATAACTCTTAATCCCTAAATGTTCTCTCCTAATGCAGCACTTTGCAAAGCATGCTGGGAACTACCGATCCACTGCCCAGGGCTGTGTTTCTCAAAAGCATTGTGATTAGCTCACACTTAGACACCATTGGTGATAAATGCTTTAGGGACACACCTTAAATCAACCTGCATTCAGTTATTCACGTTTTCTCCCATTTAGACTTTATTACTGACAAATGCTTTGGTAATAAATAGACTTAAATTACAATGTGCAGTTTTATTTTAAGTTTGCACGGCTCCAGATTAACATTTTGAGGGCAGCATTGTTGAAATAATAATTCAAAAGCAAAACGATTTAAAAATATATATATTTGTGAGTGGAAATGGCCGCCACTTACTGGTTGCAATGTTAGTTTAATGTCTTTTTTATTTTTTAAATAAATGTGAGTTTTCCTACATCTTGAAACTTTTAGTTTTATAAAAGGGGGTAATCTTTGAAGGATGAACAAATAATGTGCAGGCGCGGGCCTGTCACCTGTTGCCGACCCCTGCTTTAGGGAAACGCAGCATGGTAATATTAGGTGGATTGAACACAATTAAATTAAGTTGTGACGAGAGAAAGAAAAAATAGTGTATTTTTTGTTTTATTATGTCAATAGTGATATTCAGTTTAATGCAGCATAATGTTTAAAACAGCATCCCTTTGTGTTATGTTACGTAAACCTGATTAAATTACGTTACAATAACACCATTATAATTTATAGGTAGAATCAGGCAGAACATTTTCAATTTTTACATTGCAAATTGAATAAACATTTGAATAATAATAATAAAAAAACAATATTAAATATACATTTAATATATATATATATATATATATATATCTCAAAACAAAAATACAGTGACCTTATAATCCAAAGAAGGCAAAACAAACAAACAAACAGTGTGTGAAGACACAACTGCAGAAAAATAACTAAAAAAACAGGGATATACTGTATACACACAGGATAATGACTACTAAACTAAGAGCACACTTAAATAAACAAACTTAATTACACTGAGGAAAACTTTTACCACGAAATTGAATCACGTTTTTCCAACAAAATCGAATCTTGTATGAACTTAAATTAATTTAGTCAGAACTACTAAATAAAAAGTTGTCATTCCTACTAGATGAAGTTTTGGCAGGTTATCTATGTTTAATTTTTGTCCTGCCTAAATCCAACATGATAATTTTAGCCAACTTGACTCTGTTTCTTCCAATTAAAGTGAAATACTTGTGTTCAATAAAATTTGGCAACCACAAAATGGCTCATGAAATGGGTCATACTTGATATTACCAAAGCACTGAGAAGTGGAAGTAAATAGAAAACTCGGCTCATGAAAGGACGCAGTTATTGGATGGATGGAGCAAGAATAATGTTATTGTTTAAAATGCCAAGCACACAGTTCAGTTTAATGGTAAAGCTCGCCCTCTTTAACAACGCAGTTAAACTAAACGTACTACGCTGAAATAAACAATTAAAACAATGGAATAAGAGTGCATTTTTCATCTGTCAATCACATGCGCGTAAAAGTGTAATTCATTACTATAACCCACTTTGGACTCACAGCACATTTTCACCATTATATACTATGATTTGATGAAGAAAAGTTAATATTGTGTGCTATATAAGACGTCACAATGGAAACCAAATGTTACAAAGCACAGACAGAAACACAATAATAGTTATTATGTAAAGAACCAAGAAGGTCACATCTACGATTCTTGCCACTCTGGTCCAGGACAGCTTCTTCCATTGGATTGGTCGAGTTGCAGTTGAAGACTTTTCATTCTGATCTCTAACTGAGTCTGGAGGGCTATTCAAGTCTCTTTCACCGTCTGTGAGAGGGAAAAACGGAAATCACGGGTCCAGATTAATTCTGTTTTGTCTGTATAATTACAAGATTTTTGTGATGGGGAATCTTTGCTGATACTCCATTATAGAGCGGTTTTGGGATGGCTTGTTTAATATGTGATTCCATGGTTTTATATTTCAGACTTCAAATGCTATTTTCATCCATCCATCCATTCTCCGAACCGAGTCTAATTTACTCAAAGATTTTGTTTGCATTTCTTTCCAAAAGTAAAATCTTAAACTTAATTTCACAACTAAACCTTGATTTGTGAAGTAAAAGTGTCAAATACATGAAAATGTTCGTCATAATCAGATGCTGTGTCGACTCTTACCATCTCGGCCACTGACAGTAGATGTTGTTTCCGCTGATCTCTTCTCATCTCCTCTAGCCATCAGAAAATTCACAAGACACGTCTCCAGGATGCCAATGCCAATTAGACAGAAAACCGCACAGCAGTAACTCGCTGTGAGAGACAGGAAACTATGACCATTCTTGTAGTTTGTGTGTCTGTAATGCTGTGGATGAAAACCTTTTGTGCACTAAATAATCACCATGATGGAGATCAGTATTTGCTTTAGTAGGTCCCTTGACCCTATTCTATTAGTTTTTCTCTGGCTGCTTTAACTGAGAATAACGGATTTATGGGTATTGAATATTTATCATTACATTTAACTGTTAATCTACAACATAAAATGCAGGAACGTTTCTGTAACCAGTTATTCAGAAGGATGTTGAAATCACATTTTATGAACATCCGATGATGACACGTTCAATTCGCGAACTTATGACTCATTTGAACCGATTTTTTTTAAGGAATGGTTGAAACAACTGAACTGATCTTCCAACACTGAACTCACGGGACTTATAATCGGTGAATAACTAATCGCAACACTTTTCCATAAGGTTCCGTTTATTACATAAATTACATAAAAAAGTACAGTTTGCTTAGTCAAGTCACTGTAAGGTTTAAAACAAATAAAACCACTTGTTTCCCCCCCCAAAAAAAGCATATGACTACTTTTTCCCACACAGTGCTATCGGAATCAATATAAAGAATCGGATCATTAGCACAATCGTTAGTGGCATTGATATTGATAAAATCTTATCAATTCCCATCCCTAGGCAACACTGTTGCTAGTAGTTTACTATTTTTTTGGGGTCACCGTTGTGCTGAAGAGTAGAGACTGTGAAATATAGAAACATTGATGGTACATTGCATGTTGCTTTATTTAACAAGCGAGGACTGAGTAGTTGATTGTCCAGTGGAAATCTTATAATGTTCAAAAGTTGATTTCAAATTAAATAAGATCACATTATTATACCTTGGTCACATTATAAATGAATTATGCATTTTAGTTAATACATTTTAATGACAGTTGGTCAATTTAGGGCAGTCGGTTTCTGCAAGTGAAATTAGTCAGCTCGAGTTTTAATTTAGTGCATTTTTTTTACAGTAACATACTGTAGATAACAGTGAACAACTGAACAATTAACAGTAAATTACTGGCAACAGTGTTAATGTCTAACAGTGTACTGACCTCAAGCTCCATTTGCAAGATTGGCATGCCAAGTTCACCTCTTTTCCCTAGTTATGACCGCATCCATATTCTAATCTTTCGCTTCCTCATCATTTTTTTCAGCACACATAAAAACCACAATGGCACAATTGCGATTCATCTTGCTCTATTTGTTTACCACTATCGCATACTCATGACGTTTTATTCTATACTGTCTTGCATCATAGCCAACGATTGATTGGGTGTCATCACCGTATAGTCTACACATACGTCGTAACCAAGTTTTTAGATCCATGTCGTACATTAGAGTGTGTGTGATTTTTTTTTAATGATCTTATAAGATTGCTGAAATCAGATAGTCTGTAGCAGGGACAAGGTTGTGGCTTGTAGTTTCTTTTCTTGTTGTTTCTCTTTTCTTTCTGCTTGTTAACAGCAGGTGTTCATCATTAACCCAGCTAACAGATTTTTGTTACAAAAACGTTCTCCAAACATTCAGTGTGGGTTCTGGGAACACAAAAATTTTCCGGTTTTCTTGACCTTAGAGGAACGTGTTTGAGAATTAAATCTTTAAATTCTCAACTATATTTCAGTTTAAGAGAATATTCTAAGTTCAATGCATATTGTTTGATTGTTATGACTTCATTTGAGATTGAGGCTGTGTTTACACGGAAACAATTTTGAAGAGAAAATAAAAAAGTGGCGTTGCGTCATCACTTTTTATTCTGGGTTTAGACGAACGTTTTGTGTGGGAAATCCGCGTGCAAATGGTGACGCAAAAGTGTGTGAAATTCAATGTAGTATGCACTCCAGGCGGCTAGGAGTGCATACTACAACAACACCAAGTCCACGCGCCTGCGAACAACCTTCACTGTCAAGCAGACTTTTGCGTTTTTACCCTTTACACGGGAACGCGACGGTGGAGAGTTTTTAAGATTTCCACTCTGGAGGGTGGTTTCACTTTTTTGCGTTTTTAAGCCTCAAAAATGCCGTCGCCGTGTAAACGAAAGCCACATCCGATCAAATATTTTTACATTTTCACCCGCAAGCGTTCTCGTGTAAATGGGGCCTCAACTACAGGATTGCATTCTTAAAAAAGAACCTAAATTAAGCAATATTAAATAAGGTCTATGTTAGACTCACCAATCAGAGGGATGTTTTCAGCCGTAGAGGGAAGTGTGTTGTAAAGGATCAGCAGCATCACAGAAATAGACAGCAGTAAAGTCAATTTAAAGCTCACTTTGTCTGCTCCACTTATGTCAATGAAGTTGGAGATCACATCCAGCACAAGGAAGAAAAACACAGGTATCATAATGTTTATGACATACAGTAGAGGTCTCCTTTTTATGGTGATCTGCCATGAAGAGAGAGAGAAAGACACTCTTTAACATCGAGAACACTAAGAGACATAAATTTACTTTTATACATTTGGCAGAAGCAAAGTGACTTAGAGTACGCAGGTGATTTAGAGGGGACAATTCCCCTGGAGCAACATGGAGTAAACTCTAGTTTAAACAAAGTCCTTTTAGTCAAGCCATGCCTCTCGGCCGCCATCTTGGCAACGCCTCCGGGCAGTTATTTTGGACTAACAAGACTAACAAGACTCTTGCTCGCTCGTTCTAGATTCCGGGAGATTTGAACTCATTTGCGGGATCAGGGAACCGCTATCAATCTGCGGGAGACTCCTGGAGCTTCCGGGAGACTTGGGATGTCTGATATTTACACAATGCACATACACTGCATATCAATCACTCTCAGTGTTAATTTAACACTGGTGATTTTGCTGTGTAGTGATGAAAGTATTTATCTTGAACTCTATCATGTGTAAACATTAATTTAACAATTTAGAAATCAATGAAATAGGAATTTATAGCTGATATTACACTGTAGCCTGTAGTGCTGTGGGCGCCATCTTCTGGTCAGATGCGGAAATTCATTCAGCCCGTGACTCTCATAGTGCATTATGGGTATTCTCGAGTCTAGACATTGAGTGTACGTCTGCGTTCCAGTCCACTTTTAGACACACACTTGTGAACTTCTCTTAATTATTGAAGAAAAAAGTTAGCGAGTGAAGGGCATGATAATTTTGGACTGGAACAAAGCCTGTTGTGTACACTTGTTATTGCGGATACTATCACCAGATACTTGCTTTTCATGAACGAATCAGCTGTTTTAGCTAAATGAATGACTGGATGACTCAGTAAGACAGTGACTTGCCGTAACCTAGATGATTAAATAAACATACACACACACACACACACAAAATTATATATATATATATATATATATATACTGTATATATATGTATAAAAACACACAGACAAATAGACCCTGACGCACTTTCAGCGTATCTTAATTCATGGATGTCTCATCCAATCAGCTGTATTCCATTTGCAAAATGTACCAACCTTTTCCGTTTTTAATGATGGAAAATTATCATTGTCATTGTGTTATTTTGTTTTTAGTCTTGTTATTGTAGTTTTAGTATAGCCAATGTGTTTACAATTTGTTGTAACTGTCTCTCCAATTTGTCTCTTAATTTATAAGATATTTGATACCCCTGCCTTTTTAAGAGTAAAAAATGTAATATTTCAATTTTGGCACACATTTTGGCACTAGCTGTTCTTTTTTTTTTTAATTTTTAGATTTTATTTATATATTCAATATTGGTTTACATTCCATACCCAGTACTCTGTACCTGATATATCAGCTGATTTATTTCAGACTCTCCAACATCTTCTTCAATGGTAGCCTCAGTGCTATTTATACTGATAAAGTCCCACTCTCCCTGGGCCCGAAATAGCTCCTTCGACTTGAAGGTGGCCCACTTTGCATCAGTTAATGTATCAAGTTTAATCTCCTGATCTGTGCAAACAAACATTACAATTGTATTATTTTATATTGAAATGAAATAGTTTAGAAGAAAGAACCATGTTATCTTTTACATGGCTTTATTAATCAAAACTGATTGATGTGTTTCAGATGTACCTGAATACACTGTAGACTGAAGTGTTATTTTGCAGGTTTGGGTGTCGAAGGGAAACCTGTAGAGATCCAACTTGCAGGCCGTGGTCAGAGCTAAAACATCAGTTGATACTGTAAATCCATCATTGAGCAACTCCACATATGGAGATTCCTTTGTTCCAAAATCTGTCTTGATACTAAATGGATAGAATTGAAATTAACACTCCTCCTTGACTCAGACACAGACATCAATATCAGCGTATGAATCTCAACAATGGTGAAAATCAAAAGTTTCTTGTCGCAATGCATGCTGGGTTCCAGGATAGTATAAAACTCCTAGCATGCAATGCAGTATGTATAAAAACATTTTGCCACTATTGTTGAGATTAATGTGCTAACTTTTGATATCTCTGTGTTTCTATAAGATAGTGTAGCTCTGTTTTTTTTTTTGGTGTAACTCATTGCTGTATGACTATGCAACCATGACTTTTGAAGGTGCAAACCGCCACCTACTGCATTGGAGTATGTAGCATGAACTGTGTTCGTTGGGACTACTTTATATATATATAAAAAAACGAAATCCTAGTTATATCCCTATATTATAAAATGCAATTATATGACCCCTTTAAGGCCCTTGCACACTGAGTCCGAAATTCACGTCCAAAATTTTTGCACGTTAAAAAATAAATACGACCTCACATTATGTCAATCACGTTTGCACACTGCCTCCGAAACTTTCGGCCTTCATAAAAAATAAAATCGAATCGGTTCGATTTTCTGCGTATAAGCAGTTTGAATGGTGTTTGAATGGTGTTTTGGCTAAATCAGACATTTAGCCTGATTAAAACGCTCTCCTGTATTCTGTAACTTTTATTCACACCCTGAGCATGCAAGCTGTAATATTTCCTTCCACTTTTATCCACATCCCACCTTTCCTACCATTTCTTCATCATTTATTTTTTGATAATTGCCTTAGCTTCTTCTTTTCCAAGGGGTATATTTATGACACTGATCATCCTGGTTGATTTTTTTTTGGGGCTATTTTGTCTGCACCCTCATTCCCTTTAATACCTACGTGGGCAGGTACCCAGCAGAATCTCACATCTGTCCGTAGTCTCTGTAATCTAAATAAACTTTGTTGTATTTCTAGCATTAGATCTTCTCTATTAGATTTCATATTTTAAATAATATAAATGGCTGCTACAGAATCAACACAACATACCACTCTGTCTGGTTTTACTTCATCAACCTACTGTCAATAATCGTCACCATCATCTCTGCCCTATACACTGAAGCCTGATCAGGTAATCTTTTCCCAATGCTTATATTCATTGTTGGTATATCCCTATTCCTACCTTGTTCTCTTCATCTTTAGATCCATCTGTATATCTAAGTAACTGTAATATATGCTCCTCATTTACTGATTTGCCAGATGTTTTTTCCCACTCTCATCCCATTCGCTTTTTAGTTCCAATATATTTAAATCTATCTCTGTTTTTTAAAATGTAAACAAGTCAAGAATCCAGAACCCAACTAAAGCAAATACTGATCTCTACAATGGTAACTTCAAACCAACAATTTTCAATTAAACATCCTTATTAACAACTTCTGTAGATGTATGACAGAAATAAAGTCATACTAGTTAATAATAAGTGTAATAATGTGTAATGGCTGGAAGTCAGTTCTTGTGTTCCTTTTTCCTTCAGTGATTCTCAGTCCTTCCAGAAAAACGCAGAGTTTTTTTGTGATTGTTGCGGGCAAAAATCCTTAAATACGCGGCCCGTTTTCTTTAAAAATGCGATGGAATATGCAGGACATAAATGCAATTTTATGCGATGAAATTGCAGGAACTTGCAAAAATTGCGTAAACTTGCAAAAATTGCGTGAACTTGCAAAAACTGCGGTTTGATGAAAAAGAGAAAAAAAGTGATTCCCCCAACACCCTGTTCTAACTAGGCTACTACCCTAATGTAAAGAGTCATGTCTTATTACTTCCTTTGATAAGCAAGCATACTACATCACAGAAAGTGCTGGGAATATTTAATTTCCCAACTTGTTTTATATCAGACTATAACGAGTGTAAATAAGGTGTGGCCCCTTTAAGAGGTTTGCGCTCCCTGTTGAATTGTCTGCAGTGTTATATGTGCGCCTCAAACATTAATGTGTGCGGGTAATTTCTATTTGATGCTAATTCTTTTATCTTATGTTGTTTATTAAGTAACGATGTGACTGTAGAACGTGTGAACGATTTCGATTTGTGAGATGTCAATCGCCTCCGTGAGTCTGTCTGGCCTCTGCAATAACTTCAGCTGTGAGCTATCCCGTCGCGTAATTGCGTCACTTCATAACGTTCCCATGGAAACAGGAGGAAATGGCTGCTCTTGCGTGAAGCAAACACAACATTTTTCAACTTTCTGCTAAGATATGTGTGACTTTTTTGCAACGAAAATGCGAGGATTATGAAATCATGCAAACCCCGCATATTTTGCACGAAAATCTACAATTTATGAGGCGAATGTGCGGCGTATTTGAAAAAATGCGGCCCCCGCATAAATATGCGGACTTTGGCTGATTTTGCATTGAATTCAGCGATCGCATAATCACGTTTTTCTGAAGGGACTGAATTCTGCTTGTTAACAGCAGGTGTTCATCACTCAACAATCACTTACATATTTAATTAATATCTCATTGAATCAGTGTAACCTTTTACTCTTTGTTGTGTGGATTTTCCTGTAGGGAAAAGGGTTAACAGTGTAAGATAAAAAGACACACCCACTGATTGCATTTTAACAGTAATAAACTATAAGTTATAAAACGGGTATATAGTGGCAACACTGTTTACTGTAAAATGTAGGTTGTTTTTTGGCCACCATTGTGCTGAAGAGAAGAGCCCGTGCTTCAGTCCAGGAGAAGATTTACATACATTGATAATATGCTTTGTGTTACTTTATTTAATGGGCGGTGACTGTGTAGTTGCTGGTCCAAGACTTATCTCAGCCTGTTTTTATGTGCACTATAAACAAAGCCTTTGAATCAGTTTTAAAATTCCCATTCATTTCCGTTGTCATACCATTACCATAATTTGTAAATCTCTCTGTTCTATTGTTAAAAGGTAAAAACAGCCAAATGAAAGGTTTTGAAAGAAATATACCTTTCCATTATACAAATGTCTGGTGTCCAAAACAAATTTTTAGGGGCTGCATATGATTTGATTCCACAATATTGGTCAGGATTCCACGTCATATTGGAATTTGGCCAACCCTGGAAAATTAGATAAAGTTCAGAATTATTATAAGACCGATTTTGCACAGTAAATTCCCAGTGTTGAATTAACACATCTCTATATCGTTCTTCCAGACCGACAGAGGCAGTGCTTCACACTGGATTCTATCTCTCATTGCAAATGCATAGGTTGAGTCTATATCAACCCCTCGTGTCCCTCATGACCAGGATGACTTTGTGTGCTCCCCTACTTAACCCTGTGACTTCCTGCAGACTGCACCCCCTATAATCTACTCGCATGCACATATTGCAGGTCATAGATTATGTGAAAAAAAAAAACCTTTGAAATCCGTTTTTTGGAACAAAAAACATTTGTTGGTTTTTCAAGGTCCTCCAGAGGCTGCAGCGGATTCAGTTGGAATTCCATTGAAATAAAAAATAAAGAAAGCAACAGCTGACAATTGGGAAACAACAGCTCTGCGGGTGAGTTTGTTTACATATATGCTGGGGTTTCGTTCAGCATTGTGATGCTCGCTAGACAGAGTGTTTTTGCTCGGGGAAGGGCCATAAAAACTTGCAGATTGTGTCCAAGAGCAAAGAAATAAACCAGAACTGGACTTTATCTGAGCCACAAAATCTGTGTATATTAAATATGGAGTCATCTCAACCTTAATAAGCCTGTTAACAAGCAGAATCACTGAAGGAAAGAAGAGAATAGAAATAGAGACGAGCAGAACAAGAACTACAGACACAGTCTTTGATGAAATCACCTGAAGAGAAAAGAAGACATTAAATCTGTGAAGATCTCAGCAGAGGAGGATTAAACAACTCCACAAACAGCATTACCAGCTTCACTTATAACTAAACAGACTGACTTTATTCTATCAGACTTCTATAGAAGTTTTTATTATTTTATCTTTCATTTTAAGTCACCGTAACAGTGATTAGTGTTTCCATGAATTGGGCTCTTAACTCTTAAAAAATCTTGTATCTTTTTATGGTTGTTTAGTCAAACTCATTTACAGCAGCAAAGAAAGATAAAGTGAAGTGAGATTAGGATGTAATTACCTGTTAATGGTTTTATAGTTCTGCAAATTGAGTAACACTTTGTGAGATAAGAATGTAATGGGTTTTTAAAACACTTACAGTTATCATTTTGACCTGTATCGAGATGCTCTGGGCTTTTTCATTCTGTAGATTAAAAAAAAAGTGTTGAGAGATAACAATACAACTGCTTGATATCCCATAATGATCTGAATCATTCTGGACACATACCACATTTGTGATGGAGGTCACATACAAGTCCACAGCAATGAAGGCAGGGTCAAAGTATATGACATCATCTGGGTTGTCATGGAACGTCAAGGGCCACATTCTAGTATTCTGAGAGGTATTCTCGTTCAGGGCGAGACGATCAAAAAGTCTTTTTTTAGCTTCAACTGTTTCTGTCTTATTGCAGTTTTCAGCATCAGACTCCTGCCCTGTGCACATGAGACATTCAGTAACACATTTGAATATATTCTCCAAGCACACAGTGAAAAAAAAAATTCATGTTTAAACATTCATCTTTTTACATGATTTCACATTCCATGTCTC